TCCATTTAAACCAGTTTTCTATATACTTATTTTTATTGTCTCTTCCTTGATTGTATTTCACGTTGCTGCGATTTTTAGGAATATATGCACAATTAGTACGGAGAGCTACACATAATCCGATAATCCCGAAACATTATGTATGTTATGAAGTAAACGACTGTAAGGAAAAAATTGTTGTCTGACCTGTCACCTAACGACTGGCATGCATTGATTGTGTGAATTCCAATATATCGTCGAGAAGAGTACCGACTAACCACATATACAAGTCAAATTCAAACTTCTTTGTAGAACAAATACATATTAATACGTAAAAGTGTGTGTGTTCTCTAATCCATATGAGCGGAGTGGGAAGCAGATGGAGGGACTAAAGTTCATGGATGAAGTGCAACTTTAAAGATATGGGACGACCCCGTTTCGCCATCGTATCGAAAACAATTTTTATGAAAATCCTAAGCACAAAAGATCACAATTTGATTCAAACCAATCAAAAGGCTTTGAACAGAATGCTTTTTATTTGATAAAGTCAAGAAGCTGTGGTGTATTAGGGGACGATCTAATCGAACGAAACCATTACTGTAGCAAAGTGCTGACAATAGCTGATGGCATTGCTATAGGTATAGTAGGGGAAACCCCCCCAAAGACGCTACAGGGTGACTATGACGTATTTCAATATTTGCCAAGAAAAATGAATAGCACAAAATTCATCTTATTCTTTCTTATTAATGCATGCTTCAACCAATGCTCCCTTCTTTTTAATTCTCCTCATAATACAAGGACTTTTGTACATGGCTTCCAAAAACCAAACGCTGTTTCGGTAGAAAATACTTATTCTGTCCGAAAAATGGGAAATACATATAGCCCCGGATAGTGCTTGGACTAAAAAGTTCTTACTTTTATCTTGAATGAAGCATTGAAAAAAAAGGGCGATATGGGTTTCGTTGTACCCTAATTTGTTTAACAAACGCTTTTTCTCGTCCTTTCATTACGTTATACCTATTCCTAGGCAAAGATGGCGCTTGATATATTTTGACATCAAGACATGATCTTACATCTTTCGAACTTATGGAATACATGAAGAACAGTAAAATATTGGAAGGACTACTTAATAGGAAAAAAGGTGATGTTAGAGTTCTCGAAACTATTCTGTTTCTGTTTGAAGGTCGCGATCGTTAGGCGCAAGCTGCATCAGTTGTATTGCGTATATTTTACGGCGGAAATGAAATAATAATAAAACAATTTTCCTTGAATTTATAGGATATTTATGCAATTGTCTCTGTCTCGCCTTTTAAAATATTCGTTTTTCAATCTAACGTTGTACTACGCGTGTCCGTTCGAAATGCTGAAATGGCATTTAAATCTTTTTCTTTGCATTACAAAAGTAAGTAATGGTAATGCTTAAAAGCAAATAGATCTTATGTCGCTTTGTTGTCTCGTTAAGAATAACTTTGCACGACAACAAAGAGATAATATGCGTGTATATGTCGTAATAAAAAGCCAAGTGAGAGGGCGGAAGAAGGGAAAACTACTCGAAAAGTGACTTACTATGAGGCACGGCTATGCTACTCTTGCCGCATAGCTTGTTATAGTCCTAAGTATTTTTAAGCTTTTCTTTTTTTTTTTTTTTCTTTTTTGGTTTTGATTTGAAACTGGTCTTATAGTTGTTCAGTTGGTAAGATTTGTTTTAGTATTTTTGTAAACCAATGTTAAGCTTAGTGCTTTTTTGCTTACACTATAACGTTGTCTTGTTCATACATAGTCATATGCTTAGATATTTTTACTTTAAATGCCTAAGTATGTGTTTTTCAGGTGACATTGAAGAAAAAAACAAAAAAAAAAAAAAATGCAAGTAAATGTTTTATTATTATTCTTACTAATAGATTTTTTCAAGTATTTTAATGCAGTTGTGTTTCTTTTGTTTAAATGGATTTTACATGCAATACATTAAAATCATAGAAAGAATTATATATGACGACGACCTTCAATCCCATACAATTTTACATATTCCAAGATATCATGATTTATGGAAATGGGAACATTAGCTTATTTGAATTTTGCCCTTTCAACTAATTTAAGAAATGGTTGCTTTTAAAGCAAAAAATTTAAAGACGCTTTGCCACATCACTTTGTAAGGATTTCTTTCATTAAAGGCGAAATCGAATAAAGCTTTTAAAGCAAAAATTATCTCAAAAGTTCAAATGTCAGTAGAGCAACCATAGCAAACCAACTAAAGGAGATATCTTGAAATGCTTATGTAACAGAGTTTGCAAAATATTCTATAGCGATAATTTGCAAATATATAAATTGTTTGAATTTATTCTTTTGATAACCAGGATAACCAGGTTGCTAAGAATGAAGCGCAGAACAAACTGCAGAACATTGTTCCTGTTGCAAAAACCTATTGCGACCCACTTCATAAAACATACTAAGGCGCTAAGACGCTTAATATGCTCTGTAAGGATATGAATGTGAATTAATATAAGATACTGAACATAAGGAAAGGACAAATGTAGTGCAGAAAATAGCAGAAATAATACTGTCCAAGCAACAATATTCAATTTGAAAAGTTTGCAATTAAATGGACCAGGTGTGCCAGGAATGGTGCCAGTTAATCTCACCTTTCAATTTAATATGAAAGTAAAACAATAAAAGCTGATCGATCTTCTTTGTCAGTCTAGACAATGCTTAATCATCATTTGTGCCATTCATTCCAATTTAAGTTACGTATTGTTCGTTCCGATGACAAACCCAAAATATCTCCTTTTCTATCAGCAGACAGAGAAACGCAAAAAGTTGATATGCGTTTATTTATTTTGAAATCGAATGCGTTCCATTTTATTCAAGTGTTGTGATAAAAATATTAATTCATCCTCAAGTTGTTTTAATCTGAATATATATGAAGCGTAAATAGATCAAGTGAACATTGCTTGCAAAGATCTTAACCGAAATATAAATCAAAACACCATGAAAGTCAATCAATACTTCAAGGTGAGTCGTTGATTTCTATGAAATACGCAAATCTAATCAATTTCTTCTAAATTAAAGGTTAAGATTTTACTCACAACATATATGAACGTAATTATATTGACGTTAATGTAATTAACAAAATATTCTCTATTGTACTGGTGACGTTCTTCGGAGGTTTGTTCTCTTATACACCATATTAATATACGCCAAAAAACTCGTTGCATTTCTATTGGAAAATGTTAGATAGACCCATAGTAGTTTGTCTAATAAAATGGAAAGAGCAGGAAAGGAAAAAGACTCTTAGCATGCTCCGTGTTCTGAAGAACTTAACTTCCAGTTCGGCCACCTTTGGTAAACAAAAAAAAAAAAATATTGCTTAATACGCAGACAGCTTTTGCAATGATGTTTACTGCAATTTTACTTACCTACAGTAATAAAGAAAACAGTAAGTCACTCATTGTTTGCCTTTAACACAAAAAATATAGGAAAAGAGAGTTCAATACTTTTGGCTAACGCTGTAGACATCATAACTCATTTATTAATTTAGACGACCCTTGAAGCCATAGATTTCTGTTACGGCAAGATATAATCTAAATAGCATTCAATGCGCGACTGGTCGGTCAATCCAAATCCAAATAATTTATTTATTTTTTTAAATCGTGCGACTAACCACCCAGGAGGCGCCACTTGTACATGTAAAACCATGATTGTCAGAAAAAAGTAAGCGAGAAAGGGAGAGATAAGGAAAGGACGCATCTTGCGAAGTGTATGTCCGATTGCTAAGTGTTACGCTTCTACTGGCTATGATAATAGCGAGGACCATACAAAATTGAATAAAACCTGCATATAATCGAACTGTAATGGATTGGAAACCCTTAGATCAGGTTAAAATGTTGAAGGCGTCATTAATAAACAATAATTAACGCTTCTCAGAATTAAGAGTACGAGACGAGACATATTACAAACGATTTGACTCAAACAAAGCCCCAGTTGATTTAATTTATTAATTCAATATACACAGGGTATCTCAAAAGCCTTGGTTAAGTCTAGAGAAACTAACATTACCACTGTTTAGGGAAAGTCGCAGTGCCTTTGTAGTAGTAAGCAAGAAAGATATAGAGTTGCCAAGCCAGCTTTGAATCCATAGCAAGGCGTTATTTTCGATATAAGTAACAAAAAAGTTCATCCTTATTAAATACTCAAGGACCTTCGAGAAAATAGTCAGCATTGAAAATGGCCCTTGATTCATTCTCTTGACAGAAGTGATGCGAACAATTTTTGAAGCCGAAGGGGGATCGTACAATTTATAATGCCAAGGTAAACGACCAGTGGGAACGAACTATTTATTTTAAAAACTTCAAGCAGTAATCCATCTACTTTACTCAAATTTAGATGTAATTTTTCTAAACGCACTTACAGCATCGTTTATGGAGTAACTTTACGTTGTGTCGATCTGATCCTCCATATCTTTTTTGTGTACATAGCAGGAAAGCCACACGATGCAATCATAAATTCTAGCAATCCAAAGTTCACCCTTTTATTATCGCGAAATTCAATACAGTTATCCTACTTACTAATGGTTATTTTAAGAGCTACATACATAGCTGAAAGCGTCGATAGTTGAATAGATAGATAGATGCCGTATGAATGCGGCTGACTGGAGCAGACGATTAAATTGCTATCAGTAATTAAGAAATGGAAGGAGAACAAGAGAATTATAGAGGGAATATTTTTATATGATATGTAACAGAAGCGCTTTAGTTAAACATTCTGAATTTTGTGTAAGAGAATTCAAAAGAATTTACAAACGATATGATTTTTTACGCATTTACCAACGTAATCTCGTAAATAAGAATTAATCATATGCGATTGGATGAGTGTATAAGCGAAAGCATATAAAATTGAAAAAGATGTAGGGCAAGTATTATGAAATTTGTATTTTGAGTAAATAATACGGAATTGTTGTAAAGAATTTATTAAGAAAATTCTTTTTATTTTTATTAAAAATTATTAAAATAATATTGGCTTCGTTACAGGTCGCTGAAAAGGAAATATAATTTAGTGGTGAGTAAAAACATAATACATTGGTATATGACATGTATATAAATGTATGTGTAAATATATTGTCAGGGGACATAGGGCGCCCCATGTTGTTCTTTACTTTATTATACGTTGTGTATATATGTCTACTCCCTTCTTCAATTCTATTCATATAAAATTTTTTATATATGTGATATAGAAAAGAGTACTTTGCTCTAAATCCCCCACAAAGTTTAAAAGTTCATTAAACTTTATGACTTTATTATAAATATGGTTTTTTGTTTTATTTTCTGTTCTATGCTAAGTGCATATAAACTGTAGCACCACGGAGTGTTTAGGAAGGAATCCTTTCCCTCTCTTTTATTTACATGCATTAGTTTAACAGGATACTGGAAGTAACTAAAGCCAGAGAACATAAAGAGAGGGAGAAAAAGAGATAGAGAGAGACCGAGAGGTAGCGAGAAAAGAAGATAGAGTAAAGCAAAAACTGAATAACACAAAAAAGATGCATTTCAAAGAAATTTGTAATCATAAAATTCTGCATATATATACAAATATATATATATATATATATATATATGTATGCATATATATTACATGTGCTATAGATGTGTATATAATATGTAGAAAATTATGTCAAGCGTTTTAAAATTTGCTTCGTAGGGGAGAATACGGACATACATAATATACGTAGTCTGTGCAGTTTTAATATCTGTAAGACGTTTGTAACTAAAATGAAAATTTTAATGCATTTTGATGCATTCACATGAACGCATATTACGTAGCTTGTAATTCTCTTAGCTCTTTCGTAAGTCGCATAATTAAATAAATATGTGCTTGTAAATGTTAGTATTTTAAGAACAATGGATGTTATGGATTGTAACTTGCTTGTCAAACGATAAGCATAAATTTCAAATTTAATTACGTCTATCTATCGATTCAGAGACTAAAATGGGATTTAAAAGCTTTTGCAGCACATTTTAATTGAAAAAAGCAAATTAGTTTTAGGCAATCTGTTGTCCTTACAAATTTTTAAGGGAATTGATTAAAAATATAATGACTTTGTTTAGATCATCATTAGAATACGCTTTTTTAATATGGTCTTCGTCGCACCGGTATTCCGTAGTATCAATCGAGTCAATTTTAAAACAGTTGTTACTTCTTGCGATGGGGCCCTTATCGAGCGTTATCACCATATGAAAACAAATTACTATGAGTAGCTTTACCTTCAATTGGGAAATGTAGTTCCGTTCTGGACTTCAGCTATTTTCAATGAAATTACTTTCAATGTTCTTATACATCCATAAGGGTATTATCGTTTCACAAAGCTTAGCCAATGTAGGTTTAATAGTGAATTGTTGAACACACTGTGACCTCTATGTAAAAATTGAAATGACGTTTAAATAACCTAATGTCTTTATTGGACTCGATACATATCACTAAAAGCAGCTCTTTATAACGGTCGAGCACTGCGCATGTCATAACTTATTAATACAATTCACTAAAATAACTGCGTATTGAAGTCAAATAATAAGGAAGATTAAATAATGGGTTACCAAGTTATGGACAGTTTGGGTCCGCCTATTCGCCAGCCTGTTTGTAAACTTTCGTGAATTTCGTAGATAATACGCGAATATGTCGGTTTCTCCTCTGTTTCTTTTCTTTCTTTCGATAAGCAAGCTCCCTTACAAAGTGTCTTATACTTGTAATTGTAATGTTGTGGGCAGTCCGTACAGCGACTTAATAGATATATTGTATTCGATGTGCTTTTACTTAGCGTGAGGCAAACTTTCGAGCAACAATATCTTTGTTAATTTCAAAAAGGATAGAAAAGAGTTAAAGACCAATCCTCGTACAACTGAATATTCCGCTTGGTATCGAAAAGGTTGGTTTAAAATATCTTATTTCGTTAATCTAAGGTTATCGTCGCCATGACAGCTTTGACAAAAGCAAGGCCATGAACATTGAACACATGTTTTTTTTCCTTTTTTTTCACAATGTTGATCTGTGTGAATAGCAGAACCGACTTGAATAAATTTGTCTAATTTTTGAAGTCCCCACCTTGTCTGAAAATATAAAAATTATTACAAAAATTCTCTTTTTCTCCCATTGTCTTCAGTTTGGTTAAAACAAGTTAGTTAAATTAGTCCATGGATTCGCTTGTAATCAACTGAAAGCCGCCAATTAGATTCGACAAATTTTGACAATTATAAATCTACCTCCTACATAGGTTTCTGTAAAGTATTTCCATTATGTACACGTGTTTACTGCTTGAAGGTTTTCACTCTCTCCAAGAGAGAGCCAGAATTGTAGAGTGCTGAAAAATACGGCGACTGCGTCAGTACAGTGCTTAAGCCGTGCCCGCCTGTATAAATAGTCAAGCTGACGACTACACAACATATTTTCTTGAAGCTTTGACCGAGTGCAGTTCTGTGCCAAAAAAACGCAATTTGCGGGAAACTTTATTTTTCTGGAGAGCTTTTTACGAGTGATGAACAGCGGATGCGTTACAATTTCCAACGTCCAAATACAGACGATGAAGAATAGGCGAACATTAACATTAACATTGAGGATAAAGCTGAATATTCATGGCGGCTCCAGCTGTGGCTAAGGTACGATTGTTCATTCCAAGAAAATGAGTCCATCAAAAGGGAATGTTCCCAACAATAAATGAGTCAGTTGCGAAAAAAAGTGGACGTGATAGGCCAAAAATCATGATAATTAACTCACTTCAGAAATGTATTACCTCCTCCGCTGTTATCCCCAGACACTAGTTCTGCCGATAAACATGGGTTTACTGTACTTATTGTTCGATGAGCCTACCCATGGTTTACTTTGTGAACAGTCTTAAAAAGCTAGAGGTTGTTTTCGCACGGAGTTCGTATATGCTTCCAAAAGATGGCAGAAGTAACACTTGACGATGGACGATATTTGAATAGTAAATAAATAACTAATTCGCTGCAATAAAGCCTCGAATGTCGAAAAAGAAAACGATGAGAGCCAGGCGGTATAAGTATATGGAAGGCGTAGGCTTATATAGAACGTCACTTTTCAAAATTCCAAATATTTGCTGGTAGAAGAGCAAATTATTTAGCACAAATCAGCCATCCCCATTAATAGGCGATTGGAGTTGTAAGGTATCGAAATATTCGGATAAGCCGAAAAGTTTACTTTCCTGTTTTTATTTTTTGAAATACTTTGTGACGTGGCGTGACCGTCATCTTTTAAGTAACTTTATGCCTATTATTGTAAAAGTAATATCTGATAGCGTTTTTAGTGGGCGGAACGCGAAAAAGAAGCCCAGCTAAACGATAATAATCAGCATACTGTGACGGTATGAACTGAACTTAAACGAGAAAAAGACCTTCCGCATTAAAAAAAAAAAAAAAACAAAGTAGTAACAACAAATGCATCAGCCAAGCATTAAATTTGAAAAGCTAAACACAATCAAAACTGTTACAACAATATTGTTAAGTGCGAAGCGAAAGGCATGGCATACACAAACGAAGTCGATAACAAGCAATCAAACTACAAGTCAGAGACATGTCAACTGTAAACGTTTAAGAATGAAATTTAGAGTTGAGTGGGACGGACAAAAGCAAAATGGTAAGAAAAATAAATAACAAAGTTATTATATTCATACATTGGTACGAACATTCGCACATTCGCACATTCGCTGCTTCAAACTAAAATTGCAAATTTTAGTTCTCTGCATACGATGTTATCCCCGACAGTAGATAGATAGAGACGGGGAGATGATCTTTGGATAGGCCCTTGAGATTTGAATTTCACTGCACATCCTTCGTTAATCAGGAAAGTATACTCTTTTTACCCGATCTCTGATGTGTAATCGGTAGTGTTACGAATAGAAAGCTGAACCTAGTATATCTTATTTTACTCAATAATAGATATATAAATAAATAAAATCCATTGTTTTTATTATTTACTGTTTTTCTTCAGCAATTTTGTGTTAACAAGCTGTACAAACAGTTTATCATTAAGAGTCTCATTAAGCCAAATAATCTATGAAAAATTGTGCCCTCTATGTTTAGACCGTTGATGATCGATGTCTGTCTGTATACCGTGTATATTTATGTGAATATGTATTTATTTTCTCTATTATTTAAATTATTATCTAATAGAAAATTACATCTAAATATGTTTAAAATTAGCAAAGCGAAGCAAAAAATAAAAAAATAGAAATTATTTAATAGCGTCTTGTACCGTTAGGTATTGTGCAAATGAATGACATTACATTAGAGTAAAATTTATTATATCATCATTGGCTCTCACCTCTTGCTCTTTGCGTTTTCCTTCTTTGCCTTTTTTTTTTTTATTGTACATCATTTACATTCAGCTTGTGTTTGTTATGTGTGTCATGTTTGGCAATTATACCACTCACTGTCTAAACATATATTTGACGTCGATTTGGGCATCAGATTTAATTGCATCTAAGCATTTTGTTTCTCGTTTGTCTTTCCTTACTTTTTTTTTATTTTTTATTTTTTATTTTTATTTTTATTGTATTATTTTGCAATTGTTGCAATGCAATCAATACTTGTACTTATATATACTTGTATATATATATATCTTCAAGTATTTTATATTTTTATAGTGACATACAGTCAGAGAAAATGAAAAAAAAAAAAAAAAAACACATGGCGCTCTTAGAAACAAATCCGACAATCCGATCAATTGGCTTTTTCGTTTATTATATTTTTGAAGGTTTTATTGAAAATTTGGAAGCATTTCCTTCTTTCATTGGGCAAATGGCATTTTCATTAATCAGTTATACGTATGGCATTATTGCTTTACAGTTTTTTGCCAGACAATGACTTATTATTAAGCAAACAAGATGAGTCTTGTCTAACCGCTACTTAAAATTCAAAATATTTTAAATAAAAATTTAATGTACTCTAAATAATAATCACTGCCAACAATGGCAAGAAAGAAATTTACATTCGGCTTTTGTCGAATCTTTTATGTCTGCAACTTCTTTCTCTTAAAAACCTGAATAAATTCAA